AGGAGGTTGAAGGAGGGGATTACCACTTTGCTATTTTTTTCTTCTTTCATTTTATTCATACAAATCAAAACCAAACACACCCTCTCCGGTCCCAAACAAACATACCAACGACAAAACTAAAACAAACCCACCACAAGCAACACCAAGTCTGTAGCTGATAACGGGGATATAACCACAGCACTTCAGCGAGAGACACAAGGTAATTATTCGCTATTGTTATTGTATTCATTATGTAACAATAAATCAATCATTATTGTTATTATTATATTATCAATGTTGTTATTTTATGAAGCAAAACCCCAATTCTGCGACAATATCCAATTAGCACTGAAGAGATTGCAGTGCAGAAGAATAAGAAATATTTTCTTCTTTCTTAAATTAAATGTATAAAATAATATCTCATTCTTTCTCTCCGATTTTCTGATCCACTCTTTTCAGTGAGCCTGGTGGTCTTTATCTTCTTACTTCTATATGTTTCCGTCTTCTCTCTCTGTTGTTTCAGTAAGAGTTTTACGGTGCTCGCAACTGCATAAGGTCATATTATGAGCGCGCGAAGTTCCCTCTCTAATCAAGACAAAAGCAAACCTTCTATGCGGGGAATCGAACTCCAGACTCCCACATGACAGGCGTTGTTACTTAAAACTATAACAGCTGACGAGACATTCATATTATAGCAAAACATTATCTATATTAAGCCTAGATATTATGTGACGAAAGGGTTAAAACACAAATCATAGCTTGTGCATGCCAAGAACGTGTTCAGCAGCCATAAAGCGAGGTGCGGAGAATGTAAACTGTTCTGTTTTAGTTTTAGTAGAGGTTTTACGGCGCTCGCAACTGCATAAGGTCATATGAGCGCATGAAGATTAGAGGTGTTACAAGAGAATAACAAACACCAAAAAAGAAAAAGAAAAAGGGGAGATAAGGACGATAGATGTTTGATAGGAAAGTAGAAGCAAACCACACCAGAGCACACACTGACCACCCACAACGGTTCCGTTCATTTGCGTACCATCCCAGGCAAAATGATGTCAGGCCCGAGTTCTATGCTATACAACTGGTGGAAATAGGCACACAATTACACAAATAAATGTGTACTACTATAAGCCACATGACTACAGATGGTCTACATTGGAGTTTGTTTTTAAGAGCTCACAAGAATTTCAGACTATCATAGAGTTTCCCAGTCTTTAAGTTAAAAGAATTCGTGGTTAGCTTTATAAGAATACCATTATCGTTATCGTTGTTTCAAATTATATTATAATTAAATTCATCACCATCATCATTATTATTATTATTATCAGTAGTAGTAGTATTATTATTA